AATTTAAATTATTTTAGGACTGATCTTGTAATAAATGAACGACTTACCGAGTCAATGTATTCAGTGGAAGGATTGAAATTTTTACATCAAGATTCACATGTTGTTATGTTACCAAAAGGCCTTCCATCAATTGGACATAATGTGAGTATTGAATATTTTATTTTTATGCAAAATAATGATATAAGCCAACTTGCTTTTGTTGATCTTTCATTTGACATAGAATATTCCATATCATCTAGTGTACCAACAACTGTAAAATTGTAATGATCATTGATAGTAAACATTTTGGAAAAGTAGAAATGTCTTCTATCTCACGTTCCCAATATCAACGCCTTTATTTCAGCTAACGGTTCATTATCTATTAAAATGTATGCTATAGATTAAAAGAATATAATCTTTAAAATTGAGTTATCATCCCAATGAATATAAATTAAATTTATATTGATTACTTATTAATTAATTTATCAGGTTTTATTTTTTTTCCATTTTTGAAAAAATTCATTCAAATCCCAAAAATGTTCAAATTATTTTTCATTTAGAAACTAATAAAAGATTTTAATTTTAAACTAAATATTAGAAATTTGAATAGAAGATCCCTTACACTTTTGTCCACCTTTATTTTTTTTTTAAATTCACTGGATTGATTCATTAATATTTTTACAAGCATTTAATTTTGAATTTTTTTACAAAATTTGATATTCAGCAGTTTTTAATGATTAAATTTGTTTATTTATACTATATAGATGTATGTTAGGATAACACACTATCTCTGCTCATAATCATTTTTTTATACAATGATTTACCGTTGAATTCAAATTTATCACATCCATTACAATGACATACTAGTATACTACTCAACAACTACGGTATAGCATTATGATACCTATTTACACACCTTTTTAAAAATTTGTTTTTAACTTCTTAGTGAATATTATAATACATGTTGTATGAAAATAGGTTCATAGTATAAAATTGCTTAAGATTATTCAAAACATTTTTATAATGTCATTGTCCATAACAAATAATAGTGTACTTAAAAGTTTTTATGATTAATATTTTTTTTTAAATTGCAACATGATAAGGATAACTAAAATTGTTATTTTTGTAAATATCCAAATTCATAAAAATTTGACTTTCAAACACTTATAAACACAATTGTTGACTATGTATTTTTGATGCTTATCTTATTTATGTTACAGTACAAAATTTAATAACTCTCTCATTTTTGATAATATGTGGCGGTTAACATAACGTTAATATATCACTTTTTTGTTAATAATAATAATTATACCTTTATTAAATGTTAATAGACATAGTTTTAGATATCTACTATAAAGGCTTGATTTGATTTTTTTAAATTCTTATATTAATTAAATGTTTTAGGTATGTATTAAAAGTGCCAGTCCAATTGTACCTGTTCCAAGATCTGTAATTGAAAGACGGATTAGACAACAACAAATAGAAACAAATAAACGAAGTTCTCGAAGTTCGAGTGTGGTCACTAATAAAGTTAAAGTAATATTTATTTTAGTTTTTGTTTGGCTAGATTTTATTTTATATACATTTTAGAAATCAATAAAAAAAGAAAAAGTTCCTGAAAGTCGATCACCGTTTGATCTCAGTTCAACTGAGAGTACTCCAGAAAAATATATATCGGCATCTGAAGAAGAACTAACTAGTGAAGATGAACCAGATGATGATGAAGACCTTGATGACGAAGATGATATTGATTCGTTGCGTACAAMGGACCTTCAAAGTCGACGTAGTCAGAGACTTAGAGTTAGTGTCAACCGTTTATTAAATGGACGGCCAATGGCTAGATCATCGCTTCCCCGTGAAACTCGTTCTGCTTCATCAATTACCTTACCTCTTTCTTTAGCACCTGTAATTACTCAACCACAAGTTCGTACTACCAAACGACGTTTAAGTGAAAAAGATTTGCGTGTTGATCGAAATGGACAATATTTAGTTAAACGTAAGAGGTTACGTCGAAATGGTTTACAGAATAGCAGTTCGAGTCCAACTAAACGCCAGTCTAAGACCAACTGTAATGGTCGTCCATTGTATAAATCTTATTCAGATTTTTTCGCAAATCATAGTCACTCTGTAAATAGACCTTGTTCACCTGAAAATGCTGTAGACTCTACAGCTGATCTTAAAACTCTAGTACATTCATATTTCGGTGCTAGTAATAGAATTGCTAATGGTGAAGAATATACTATACTATGCAAAAGAACTAACCCAGATGGGTCTGAAGAATTTTTAATTAGATGGGATTAGTATATTATTCTATATAATCTTAAACATAACAATATTATTCACTTAACATACTTTTCAAATTCCCATAGAAGGAAAATAAAACATGATTTTAATGATTGTGTGAGCTGTTATGCATTTATATTCTGTTACTATTACCAAACTTGGTATTTGACTGTTATTATCAACGTTCCTGATTTGATTCTTAATTTCCTATTCATAACTATTATGATGAGAGTTTTATTAAATGTATATTGTTATAATCAATATTATATTTTTGATGGAATGTTGGCAATAATAAGTTGATACAAAAATGATTCCTATATACTATCGTGTATTAATAAAAATACATCAGACTTGGCTCAGTTTTATACCATTATAGTTTATCCAATCACAATTTAGTTTATTCTGAATATTTTGTGTTTTGGATACTGTTTTTAAAATTTATGACCTTATATCAATTGTTTGGCTCAAATTGTATGCCTATGATAATTTCCTACTACTTATTAATTACTTTCATAAGCTTGTGAATGTGTACAGTCGTACATGGTTTTAAGTAAATATTAAAAAAATCAAGCAAGTAAAAAAAGAACAAGTTGTATTTATTATTATATATTTTTTAACATAAATTGTGTTCATATTTATAGTTTAGTGATATTGGCGCAATAGCTATGGTAATTTTTGGGTGAAATTACCACATCACATTTTACTGGTCCTCAACCCATCCCAAAGTTATAAAATTTTCTAATTTTTATTTTGAAATTTTACGTAATTGAATAACTACTATTTAATTATTCAATTGGTTAATGAAAGTACATAATTTCATTAATGGTACATTTATTTAATATAAATTTATATAGAAAAATGTTTATGATTTAAGGGTGTAATTCAATTGTTTATACCTATACTGATGGGTTATCTAGTATCATGTAGATAAATTTAGTGTAATTTTTACCTATAAAAACATTTTTAATTTTAATTAATGTGAAGAATTGTATGCGTTAAGACTGAAACATGTGTCCAAAACGTGAAAACGATTATTTCTGGTAGTGGTTTTAAGGTCATGGCATTTAAGAACTTTTAAATAAGTGACATTTTTTTATGGGTAGTTATAAAATGTTCTAGTGTTTTGTTCATGTATTCTATGGGTTTGAAATTGTGTTGTAGATCTCGAAATTTTTTTTTAATGCGTTTTTTATTGTTTTAAATTTTATTTCCCATAACATTAATATTTTTAACATCTTGGGAAATGTCTTAAAGATATACTCTCGTCCATTTTTAATAATTATTCTTAAGAAGTATATTTCAATTTGTGATGATATTTTTCTTTAAAAAATATAACTACATTCAAGTACAATTTTTGCCATACTTATTAAGCTCGTTCTATTAGTATTTATAATAAATATATATATATATTTTTTTTTTCTATGAAGAAATATTTTTTATATGACAGGTTTTTTAAGTACAAATACAGTAACTTTTTGAAATATCATATATTCAAATAATCAATGTTAACTTACGTAAAATTATCAATGTTCTCTTATGTAAAATAATCAATGATTAATTATGTAAATTATCACTGCCATTAAGATGACTGTTAATTATATTATTTAGGCTTTACGTTTTGGTTTGGCTACCTGAAATTATAATTGTAAACATTTTTTTTTTWTTTTCTTTGACATAAATATGATGCATGTTCCTATAATTATTATTTTTCGATAAAAATATATTGATTTATATTTCCAAATCATATGTGGTATGAAGTAATCCAAACTCAATATTATCTTAAATTGTGCATTTATTATTTATTTATAATAGTGTATGTTTAATGTTTGCAATATCACTTTTATACTTTAGAACAAATTATAATTTTTTTTTTTGCTCCATATTAATATTATATTAATTATAATGTTATGCATAGTAATTTTGCCTTTTTATAGATGAGAGATACCTTTTCAGAACCCAATAAATCTTAATGTGTGATGATTTATGATTATTTATTTTAATAAAAGTAATTCTTGTCAATATATTTTAAGAATTTTGTTTCAAAGGAATTATGACCTATAATTATAAAGGAACATTGTATGTATATATATTTACATACATATGTGTATTATTATGTGATTGTACCTATGTATTTTTAATAGAATTTAAGGAAAGGCATTTGAGAAATAGAAATACAAGTTTTTTAATTTATACCTAATGAATTATACAAACTAAAATAATATACATACGTTTTGTATTTTTATATATGTTTCTGCAATATGTGTTAATCAAGGTGATTTTGCGATGTGAAAAAATATTTTCTACATGAAAAATACAATTTTGTTTAGTCTCATAGTAATTTAATTCAATTTATTCTGTATAAGTAATAAAATAGTATCATTTCTGTCAAATAAGACCTTTTTTTAAGAACTAGAAATATGGAAAACGGATATCGTACATACTTTTAGGTATCTCATTGATTGATAATAGTGAGATTTATATTTTGAATTTGAGAATTGCACCACTTTCAAATACTTGTTAAATAATATATTTTGTGATTACACTTTAGAAGATGTCAGCACAATATTTGTTTTTTCTTAGATTCAACGCGTCACATACATAAAACGTCTTTAACTTAAAATCGTTTTTTATGAATTTGAATAAAATCACTTATTACAAAAATTATRTATGAAGGACAATATTTTTGTAGGTATGACAGCGGTTTTATGTTTTATTTGACTTTCAAAATAAGAAATAAAATTTGTAAATTTAGATAAAGTTTAAATTGTTTTGAGACGATATTTTGACAAACCGATTTGTCATTCCCTAAAAAATATTTAGTTCCTAATATTGTGATGAGCGATTTTACTCTAAGATTATTCAAAAACATAAATAAAATATTTGCGTAAATGCGTTTTGCTATGTAACGCGTGGGGCAGAGAGAGAAACATAACTTGCGTTGACATCTTCTTAATGAATATAATGTGTATTATAATATATTTCCATAGTACTTACATATGAATGTGTGTGTATTATATTTTATTAACATACGATCGAGACAGAAATTGAATATTTATATAAGTGTGATGTACAAAACAAGTCTTAAAGATGGCATTGACATATCAATAACTAATTAGTTTAAGAATAAAACCTTTGAATAATATTTCAATCACATGCCTTCCTTTTTATTATTATAATTTAAGTTTGTAAATGGAAATCTATTATTTAAGTAAATGGCTTTACAGATCTACATCTGAATTTTAATTATCTTATGTTTTTTATTTTTAGATTTATTATGCATAAATAAAGAACATTTGTGGATGAATCTTGTCGTTTGGAATTATTTAAAATTTTAATGTCACGACTTTGGAAATTTCTATTACATATGATCAGGTCAACAATAATTTTTTTGTCGCCTAATTAATTTATATTAAGTTTTTATTTGTTTGGCAATGTCTTCCAATATGCGGTCATGTAGGTATACCAATCTTCCGTAAAATACATTTTATCGGCCGCCGTTTCCGGTATTTTATGCGACCTATAGATTAGTGATTTTCATTGTGTCGCTTATATTGTGGTCACTGCTGTGACTGATTTTTGATATTATTATAAAATGATTTTTTTTCTTTTATCTACAATCCAAATACATAGCCACGTGAATYTTTCACCGAAAACTTGTAGGCTAAAGACTTTTATTCGATATTATCAATAATGATGACTACAAAATTTTAAGAACGATAACAAACGTTCCATGGTTTGTAAAGAACTCAAATATACACAAAGACCTCAAAATTCCAACTCTTCAAGAACAAATCAAACTCTTGACTGTGAGCTTCTTCGAATCCATCCACAAATCGACAGGTTCAATGCACTACCACATCAACATCAGACCGCCTCAAACGTGGACGGCTGCATGACCTATAATTCCTCAAGAAACATTATAAATTTATAACTTAAGCTTTAGAGTATTTAAGCTAATATAGAGACTTAAGCTTAAGCATTAGAACTTTAACTTTTGAACACCCAACTTAAAATTGTAAAATTCAATTATCGCACTTAACACGCCAAAAATGTATTACCTTTCCTACATCTCTATAGGTATAGATAGCGTAAGCTAGGGGTACCTTAATGTAATAAAAAAAAAAAAGTGATGACTGTGATGTGTCCGTTACTACTTTTTTAACTAAGCAAAATCGTAAGGACGATAATTACGATAATATTCTGAGYGCTGTAAATGTGGAAACGACGGGATTATCTATACACGCGCAGACGAGATTAATAGGTTTGCTGCAAGAATAGCTATACAATAATTGCATACCTACGCCACTACGTTATAGTCGATCGGTTGGAAAATGTATCGTGCAGCACCTTTCGGCGTTATGGTGACATATTATTTTCTCGGCCGACTACACTTTATGGCTTTTAGGCAATAATAATTTKAAGGATTACCTCCAAATCGTTAGGACGACATCCGCGTTTCGGCGATCTCTCTATTGGAYCAGCGAAATACTGATCTTGTAAAATGTTTATCCAATCGGACTTACGATAACTAGATAAACGCATTCAAAACTATGCGGTTTCGGCAGAAGGATTCGGTAGAATTGTCGCGATTGCTGAGCAAAATAATTGAAAGCTATCCTAAATTGTTAGTCGAACACATTTCGTTTAACAATACAGGGGATTTTTTTATCATGAACCACTCGTCCACTCATTATTTCAAAAAGTATCAATGTTTTTGAAAATATTTTT